ATGGTCCCGACCCCAGACCTAGGGAGCTGACGAAAATGTTCATGTGAGTTTAAGTGAAGTGGTGGCGACTGCGCGTTCCACAGCAGCAAGCTCTCACTGGAGACCCACTTCCTACCCACCACCTCAGGGAACTCTAATCTCATGGGGAATCTGGTGTAAAGTTACCTTCTAATAATTAATGTCCTGACATCAAAGTCAGCACGCAGCTGTCTGTAAACCATCTTTAGCCCAAGAAACGGAGGGACGCCGGCACAGATTTTATCCAGCCTCTCTCTTCAGCTTCAAAAACCACACACAGGCAAAGTATTAATGGGAAGATTCTTTTACAAAAATGGACCTTTGATGTTTAAAAATAATTTGTTTTGTTTTGGGTTTTTTCCTCAGGACTGAAAAGGGACACAAAGCAGATGCCATGTGGCCAGCCCTGCTCTGCTGTTGCTGCTGAGAGCAAGGAGAGCAGAGGATGGCAGGAATGGAGGAGGGAACAAAATGTAATCAATCAGCAGCAAAAGCACCAGAGATCAAAGGGCTTGAAAGCAGCCGTCAAAATCACATGCTGTTTAACACAAGGGTAGAGCCCCCCCAACAGACTCTGCAGCTGCTTCCAAAGCTGCTCTCACACTGGAAGGGAGGCTGGCTCCAGAAGTGCCTCCGAGTGGTTTGAACAGGACTGCAACCCCCAGGCAGATGCCGGATCACAACAGTCCTCAGGCCACCACTGTTCAGCTCTGTGCCCAACAAGCTGTAGCCAGTAAAATGATGAAATGAGTTCTGTCTCTCCTGCCAGCATATGGAGAAGTACAGACAACGGGACCAGTGAAGAATCCCAGCACAAACCCTCGCACTGCTTCTGTTCAGACACAACTGAAACTCTTCCTTTCCAAATCCCTCATAGGCAAGAGTGCGACTGAAGCAAACAACGCATTAGACTGGACAAATCAACCCAGCCTTTGGGTCTGTTCCCAAAGGTTCAAAAACACTGATGAGGTGGACCCAAACATGTTTCTAATATACCAAAATATTCACCACTGGGTTGGCAAAACCTCTTCCTGCTACATTTGTAACTGCTCCAGAGTCCTTCCGGGTCCTGGCTTCTGCTCCTGAACAATTCAGAAACTCATCAAGAATGAACTGCCACCACAAAGAAGTCAACCAAGGTAGAATCTCCACATCAATGTGAGAGCGTACACACAGTCTTGCTAAATTCCTCCTGGATCAAGCTCCCTTTGAACCTCATCAGGCACTCTTTCTTTCTACTTGCGGCTTTCCATTGTTTAATCCCATGGCTGGATCAGAACCAGAGATAAACACAAAACTCCAACTCTAGGAGGTCCTAAAGAGTGGGAAAACATGAAGGGGATCTCTGAACGCTAAAGCCAACCCTGGTGATTATGTGTGCAGTGAAGGGGCAAGGGAAAGCGCTGGTCACAGAGAATCCAGGACCTGAAACTCCCAATGTACAACAATGCGGACTGAGTTATGAATTTAAAGCCTCCCATAGTTCATTGTATGCTGCTTGCCAGACAAACCCAGCCTTGCTGAAGGCATTCAACTCCATACGGCTGCCCTACAGAAAGCCTACTTAACAGCATCCAAAGGCCATCCTGTGATGGCATCACAGCACTCTTGAGCCATCAGTTCTGGTATCTCTACATGGGCTAAAGAATTTTTAAACAATATAGTTTTACTTCAGAGATGCCAACAATGATGAGAGATGTGCAACTTGTCTTGCTGGAAAAAGGGTTAGAAAGTGGTAGACTTTATTTAAGCAGCAGGATATTTTAGAGCTAGACAGAAAAGACTTTTATACGCAAGCAGAAATACAGAAGGAAAAGGATGGGAGCTTTCTGCTTCATCTGCAACACTAAAAAAATTAAAACTCACAGAAGGGATGGGACTGGACTAAAAGAAAACGGTCCAGACCTGGTTTTTGGGGTTTTTTTCCAAGTATTGAGCTCCTGGCAAGTGAGATGCAACTGTAGCTGAAAAATTCCTTTCCTAGCTCTATACCCCTTTCATTCTACCACGTGCCACCTAAAGAGTTAAACTCTAAGTCAGAGCGACCACAGGCAGAAGGAACGCTGAGGAAGCAGACATTAACAACTGCCAGCACAGGATAATGCTTTTACAATAGCTTTACTATGGAGTTCCATGTCCCACAGAAAGGCTCAGATGAGAAATCTGAGCACACCTTACAACCTAAGAGAAACTTTGACCATGTTTTCAGATCTTCAAAGTCATGGGATGAAGTTGCAACAACCCTATTAACACCATTTCTGCTCCTAGACAATCCTACAACAAGCTAGAACGTTATCCCTTTCCAGATATAAAACTAACAAGCTTGTACCTTCCATGTGATCTGGGAGGTCAGTCAGTCACAACAAGCAGTAAGCACCTTCAGAGTACTATAAAACACAAGTCTGACCAAACTCTGCTCATCCTTACCAAAACTACGCGGCAGATTGCGATTTTTACGAGAAGGAAAAGTGCCCAGGGCTCAGGTGACAAAGTGGGCACTTGTTAATGAAATCTGCATGGAATTTGAGGCACAGAGTCTGTGCTTTTAATGCAGTTCTGTTGCTTCCATTAAACCATTCATCAAGGACACCTCAACGTTCAAAGCTTTGCTTGCCTCTGAACAGCAAATTCTTAAATTCCCATCCTTCATATTTCCTACAGTGAACTATCCAAAATGCAGTACTTCCTTACTGAACTCTTGGCAGAACTGGATGTCACCAAGGCATTTAACTCCATATTATGGGGAAAAAGTCTGAAATATGGAAACATCTTTTTCCTTGTAGGAGTTCAGCCTCAAGCAAGGCAGGATGAAAAAAGCCCCCATTGCATACAAGTTTTCCCTTACCTGTTCTTGCTCCTTTTGCAGTTCTTGGCTGTTCTTAGACTTCTTTGGCTTAGAAGGGCCTCCGGGGCTGGAAGAAGTTGTTGGCAACTTTGAAGATGACATATCTAACCCAACAGATGGTGCAGCTACAGAAGTGTCCCCCAGACGCTGTCCATCTCCAAAAAAAGGGACAAATGGGGTTGACTCAGGCTCTGAAGAAGGCCACAGCTCCTCAAAGTTGGCATGAGATTCTCTCATCGAGTCTTGCTTGTCTGTGCAGCTGTTTAAAGACATGGCCACATCCCCGTGGTCCAAGTCCTTTGGGAATGCATTTGCTTGAGGTAGGGGCACATCCACTGCTTCTTCAATAGAGCCTTGCCTCACTGTCAGCTCATTACACTGCATCGGGGCACCCACAGCTTCCTCCTGACCAGATGAACTGCATTTCTTCATGACAACTCTTAAAGAAGACATCAAAATGAATAAACCCAACATCATTTATCCTAACAGTACTGCCCTCCCCCTTCTCAACATGACCATGACACAAAGAAGACAGCTAGACTGAAATATATGCCTAATTTAACGATCTGCTGCTTCCAGACACTCACAAAGAACAAGCTCCAGTTGCTCTGAAGTTAAGGGTGGAAGACAGGGGTTTGCACAAAAACACCAGAACAGGAACTACCAGCTCCACAGGAAGAACGCTGCCTTCCAGGAAAAAAGCAGCAGTGAGTTGTAAAGCACAGCTTCAATCACTCCTGCCTCCTGGATATAATGCAAAGAACTGGCTAGAAGATCACAGGAAGGCTGTCATTGTCCCCTACCTCACCCTCCCAGTCAGCAGGAGGCACTGCAGGGACCAGGAGGCAGGGAAGTATGAAGCGGTAGATAACTGTCCTCTCAGAAAGACTTTTCACTTTGAATTGCCTGCTTCACTCACAGGAAAGACAGGGAAAAAAAAACAGGAAGAAAGAAACAAACAAGCTCCTTTAATGTGCACATGGGGGTCAGTGCCAGCAGCTGCGGGGAGCACATCTGGGCAGCAGTTTCTGATAAACAGCAAACGCAACAATCCGGAGCTGTGGGTTGTCACTGCTGAGCACTGTTTGGTTGTCATTGCTGAGCACTGTTTGGTTGTCATTCCTGAACTCTTCTCTTGGGGTCGTCCCTCCCCCCCCCTTTTTTTTTTATTTGAAATAAACCAAATTCACCCCCAGAGTAAAAAGGAAAACTAAAGAGCCCAAACTCTTCTCCTCCCAACCTGACGATGGCGCTGCCTCCAGTCAGGCCAAGTGATTTCAGCGTTGTCTTCTCTAGGGCATCTTTTCCTGAGATCTGCAACAAAACCAAAGGGAAGTAATTGTGGCAGCAGCCTCCCTGGGAGAACATGTAAAGTGCTCTTTCTAGAAAGAAGCCTGTATCCAAACAAACATCGCACAGCACCAGACACAGCACAAAACACGCTCTGCAGTTGGAAATGAGACCTGAATGCATCTGTATTCACCTGAACTGCTGTACCAAATTAACTGCTTACTAAATGATGTGAAGGGAAGATGACCTACATATTCTTTCATTCCATACATCCATCCAAATCAGATCCAACCTTAGCAAAGCATTATTCTCATGTCAGAAGTTAAATCACTGGCAACATCTCAGAGCTGACAGACAGACTATTTCATTACATACACCTCCCATGTTTGTAATGACCTGTTCCAGAATAAAGATGATCTGTCCACAGAGGTCAGTGGGAAGTGAAGGGGACAGCTAGGGAGAGTAAATTCCATTATACACACATACAAAATATTAAACAAAACATTAATAGCAAAAGATCAAAACACAGAGAAAAGCAAATATTTATTAAAATGAAACCACTGTTTTGACTCAAGCTTTAAAAGAAGTTGGAAAGAAAAACACAAACAGGTCATTGAGCTCATTTTATGGGCTCAGAGGTCTAAACAGCCCAGTGTTACGTTCCAAGAGAGCTTTTTTCCATACAGACACGTCATGCTTTGAAAAGATCAACATTTTTCTACTTCCCCTCTCAAGAAAGTTCAAAAGAAACACTCTCCAGGTTGGAAAGCAGAGCTGAATTTTTCTTATTTTTTAGGGACAGAAGGAGGAGAGACAGTTCAGACGACTTTGCTGACTTACCTCATCTCTCATGTAAACACAGACTGGAGAGAATTCACCATGTTGTTCCATAAACTCCCTGCAATAAAAAGCAAAGTACTGCAGCACCTGTAGACCAGTCTACTGCCCCCCAAACCAATGTAGAGCAATAGCAAGAAGTGCCATTAGCTAGCAACACTCTCCTCCACGTCCCTCAAGCAACAACCATTACACAGAATCAGTATTAGACATCAGGTAAAGAACTTGCTCCAGTGCCTTCACTGTTCCTTAAACACAGCCCTGAAAGCTTAAAACCGAAGTAGAAATAGTTAATCCTGAAATTAGCTGTTCTTACCAGATAAATTTGAGCACATCATTCTTCATGTGCCTTAGAACCCAATCTGAATCACAACTAAGTAATACTTGATCTTTTTAATCCCTTCTCTAAGTTAAATAGTTATTAGAGTTTAGACTGTACTTGTTTTGGGGACAGGTCAGTTTCTTTCCATGTGTGCATCACAACAAACAGAATGAAATACTATGAACTGAATGAAATGAAACAAAGCAAATCGGAGGAATGAAAGCTTGAACCTCAAGTTGCCTGTCTATCAGGAAAGGTGGATGATCATCATTTAGGAGGAGAGAACCAAGGCACAATGGAACACACATGCACATCACACAGACCCATAAGAGACAAAACCACTTTGACTTACACAACCTAGTTTAATTCACCTTCCAAAACTGCTTTCTACTTCAATCTAAGCAACTCTTTGGATTGAAGAGTCTTCTAAAAATGTATGGAAACTATCTGAACTTAATGAATGATACCACAAAAGTAGCAAAGAGACACAGTCATTGTCAAAACTGTCTTCAAGTGTCCAAACTGCAATTGCTTCTATATAAAACGGTCTCAGAGCTGCTGAAGCTGCCAGCCAGGCAAGAGTGGGAGACAGAAAAGCAACAGTTCTCCCAGGCCTCATGCTAAAAGGGTATACAATGCTTGTGCCCTCAACCAGTCTCTGCAGAACAGACTCCAAGAAAGATCCCCCAGAGACTTATTTTTGTATAACTCTTGGAAGCCAGCAGGCTCCTCCTCCAGCTGCTGTTAATCCGTTACATGCATTCACTGAGGCAAGCACACACATCAAACACACTGTCATTTCTTTGATGTGCTGTTCTTCAGAAGGGCAACGGCAAGCAGATTAGATTCCTTCATGTAGTGATCTGACAGGGCCTGTAAACATCTTGTGCAAGGACTGCCGCACGCTGAGAGGAGGAGCAGCCCCACAATAGCTTCCAGACCTTCTTCAGACCCAATTAGCCAAGATGGACGCTGGAAACCGGGGGGAAATTCCAGTGGATTTAGAATACTTCCCCTCACGCACTTAGAGCAGCTGAGCATTCCAGGAAAAGGTCTCCAGTTGGAAAGTCAAAGGAAGGACTCAGCAAAAGTCAACAACTAGCTGACTAGTTCAACACGCTGAAAATGAGCGCAGCCCATGAAACCTACATGGATGGCTACAGATCCAGCTTGGTTTGTGCTGCTTGTTGAACTTCATCAAAAGTTTGCAAAGTCCATGCAAACGCCTGAGCTTCCAGAGGGCAGGAGAGAACAGCTGTGTCTTATGAGCTGAAGTTAATAATGCTTAGCACACTGGAGAAGTTAAGTTGCTTAAAAAGAGCAGCATGTACCTTAACTATTAGTATTACAATAACCTGTAATAAAAAAAAAAAAAAAAACAAACAAAAAAACCCACAAAAAACACTCCAAAGGAGCAAAATTATATAAAAAGCTCAAAATTTTAACTTTATAATTCTATATAAATTCTTGTAATTTTATTATTGATAAATAAGCAGCAAATGTGCAAGAAAGCCACACAAAGGCTATTTGTCACTGTCAATAACTGCCACCCCCACCAGTCTAGCAGTTCCTAAGCTGCAAGAAGCAGAGAGCACAGTGTATGTAGTAAGGTACAAGGGGGCCCCTAAAACACCTAGAAAAATTATACCTGGCTCTTTTTGTCTACCTCTTTCCTCAATCAAAAGAAAAATCATTCTCTTCTCTCTAGTATTTACACGAAGGTGTCCCTTTTGACTTAAGGGTAAATGCCCCAGGGTAGACCAGGTCCCTGACCATTAAAGACAAGGAGAATGGTAAGTAAGGCTCATTTGTACCACCTTAGAGTCACCAGACTGCCTCAAGTATTGCCTCAAACTATGGTCTGACAACACAACATACCGAGTATAAAAACTGACATGCACCACTCCTACCCACCTTTTGGTTCCTTGTTCCCAGACATGTTACACTTCCTGTCCTAACTGGCTATGAGAGACCACCCTTAACTGGGTTAGGAAACTTATCCACCTGAAAGATAATGTAGGGACAATACTATTTTTCAGCTGGATATTTAAGCCAATTCCCCACAAAGCTGCAGAAACAATATGAAGGGAGTTAGACAGAAGGGCAGGAGGTGAGCACTAACCCTTCCATCCCCTACTGCTATACAGAACATGTCCCTGATCCAAACTCCCTCCCCTGGGCCAGCAGCACTAGTCACTCCTTTGATATGGGCAAGTCCCGCTAAGCTAGCAAGAAAGGAACAGCACATCATTGGGAGGTTGGAAGAATTAGCTGCTTTACCCTGGAAACAGCTCCAGAGCAACTCCAATCTCACTGTGCAAGCCTGACTTAATGAGCTAATGTCAGCCAGCTCAGCCCAGAACCATGGGTTCATGCTTCCTAGGCTATTTCAAGTGCACTGTAGAACAAGCAATTTTAAGTTTTCAGTTAAAGCAATTTATGCTAGTACATGTTTGTCTAGTACTAACACACACATGTAACCAGTCAATTTCTACAGCTGCCAATCCAGCATTTTGTATCCTGTAACTGTATCCTAAAAGGTTGAGCTGATCTGAATCCTACTGCATCAGCAGCCTTACTACTGACCGCTCATTTCACAGCTCTTCCAGTGCCACAGCCACAGAGACTTCCAAAGTTTTGACACAGAAAACTACTGCCTCTTTAGGTGAGTATTTACTTGGTTGGAGAAATTAACAAAAATAGTTCCTATTTCCACAACAGCACAGCACAGCATCTGTACAAATGAGCAAGAGATTCAAATGCAACACAGCAACTACTGGAAGGTGAGGAACGTAAGAGAAAGAACAAGCTAGAAATACAGAATCTGGGAGGAAAAAACCCATTATCAAGAGAAAGGCAAAGCCAGCTACCATAGAAAAAACCAAAATTTGGAAATTCTGTCCAGAACAGAATGGCTGTCACAGCTTCAAGGCATCATCTTCCAAGCCGTGACAAAAATAAAAGAACTGTCTTTGGAGAAGAGTTTATTAGCTCAACAGTTAAAAAAAATACAGTATTTTTAAGCCAAACTAAAGACAAAATAAAGCTCTGAATGTAGATGGGACTCAGATAATAAGATATATAACACTTGCATATATTCAACAAACGTAGGACCAGAAATTCTTCCATTTAAACAGGACCTAATCAATCTTCTATACATTCCACGTTAGCCTGCTGAAAGCTCCATATTTTCTTGAATCATCACAGAATCACAGACTGGTTTGGGTTTGTAGGGCACTTAAAGCTCCAACCCCTGCCACAGGCAAGGACACCTTCCACTAGAGCAGGTTGCTCCAAGCCCCTGTGTCCAACCTGGCCTTGAACACTGCCAGGGATGGGGCATCATAACATGTAAGTATAGTTTCTTCCTGGCCTTAGCAGTTTGTTACCAGTTTATGCCCTGAACAAGGAGTGCTACTTCAGGATTAAAAAAATAATAATGAAACTATGGAGTGTCAAATCTGAAAGAGCAAGAAAAAGGCAAACGTCTCGTTGTGGTACATGAAAAACCACAGTCAAATAAATCCAATTTCTACTAATCTGCAGGATTTAGCTGGATCACTGTAACTACAACTAAATACTGTCATGCAGAGTTACATCCAAGTAAGTATTTTCTCACTGTGTTGCTCACCTGATCTTTGCAAAATGGTTGAGAAGTTCCCACAAAGTCTGTTCACAGAGAAAGGTGTCCTGTAAACGGGAGCCATCATCCAACTGCAGTGCGATCCGAACCTATGGGGAACACACTGAATTGATCTGGAAACTGGATGAAAACCTCCTTGTCTTTGCAGCTTGTTTAGGTATTTCGGTGATCTGTAGAACCTGCTATCCAAAACACCATGACTTCCTTCCAAACACTTCCTGCAAAGGATTACACTATTCAAAATGCAGAAGAGTATTCAAATGATTATTTTAGGAGTCTGGCATTTTTGCCTGACTTCCCATTGGAATGGACACCTCCTGAGCATGGAGGAGGCAATCCTTGACTATTAACCAGCTTTCTTGGGCCATTCTGAGAAAGGCCAATGAAAACATCCCATTCAGTGTTTCCACATGTCCCTACCAACAGTGTCAGTGCATCCTCCCACTCTGTGAGAGCAAGTGACACATGGGAGACCATGAGGGGGTGAGCAAGAGTGAGATGGGAAAAAGCAGGCACCACGCACTCCAGCAATCAACTGTGATTTCCTTGGAGGAAAACGTTTGTCATCTGCCTCAGCTCCTACCGGTCCTTACAGGACTGCAAATTGTCATCTGCTGGAGACAGAAGGTTTTCTGCATAAAGGGAACAGTGACATCATCAACAACTAGCCAACAGAACTCAGTTGTGTCATCCCACCATTAACACAACCTCCTGGTTTCTCCTATGCTGGAGACAAGTACTACATTATTCTCAGCTAGAACAGAGTGATGACAGCTGACATCACCATTCTATAAGAATCCAGCCCAGAAATCCAGACTACCAGTTGCATCAGTTTCTGGGCAACAGTTCAAAGCTGAGTATGTCACGAAAGTACTAGTCAGTTGGTTAGAAGTCTTTTTGAAACCCCAGGCTCTATAAATAATAGACCAGTGCCAATTATCTTTTAAGTTTACAAACACATGAACAGAAAGTTAACAACTTTAACACTAGAACTGTACTGACGGTACCCCTACATCAGCCACCACCACAAGGGGAATTTGTCCAATTGGTCACTACAGAACTGTCTTACGGGAATGATTTTTACATTGAAAGCAAATCCATCTACTTTAAAAATATCACGTTTGCTGAACAAACTCACGATTTATCCAAACCGGTGCTCTAGGGGTGAGACTGCTGCCAGTGACCACAGGAAAGCACAACTACTTGCATGCAAGTTATCTCAATAAAGAGACAGTAACAAAAGGCATAGAACCAAATTCATCCCGACTTTACTGCAGCCAGCCTGCATGATCAAGCCCGCATCTCAGCTGCCACTGTATTGGGGCATAATACCAATGCCATCAGAGTCAGCTTCTGTCACAGCTAACCAATGGTTTTAAACTCCCTGCAGTATTTGACACCCATTCCCTGTGGCAGGGAATTCTTTTGGTCAATTGTTCTGTACAAAGTATTTTCTTATACTGGCTGTAAAATCCTTCCAAGTGGAATCTCTGCTCTTAGTTTATGGGACAGTGACTCTGTTTAGACTGTGCTCTTCACAAGCATATTTGCTGTATCTTCTCAGCTCCATAGAACAGCAACAGGCACTCCAAGGGAAGCCTCACTTCTGTAGACTGTTCTGTTGAAATACAACTAAACCATAATAAGTTAAACTTTCGTTAGCTCTTCTCTTTTGTGATCTAAAGCAGTGATTCCATTTTATAACCCTTCTCCTACAATTCATGGTCCTTCTCACCCCTTTCACAACCTTTTTTTAACTGAAAATTTTAAGCAGACGCTACCAGCTTGTGGTATTTTTTTAACTAAGTATGTCATTTCGAGCACAAACTTCTTTCTACCACGAAGTCAGAAAGAAAACATTAGCACCAAAACAAAGCACATGGAAGTTTTACAGAGAAAAACACAGACATTCGTGACTCCCCAAACTGCATTGCACACCCACAGTGAACTACAGCAGAGACTGCAAAACCTTTGTGCACTACAAAGTTCACTTTTCAATGTGTGTATCAGTTTCTCTTTGTGACAGATAAAGCAACTGCCTATGACAAAATACCACTAACACAATTTGACAGACAGACATTGAGGGAGTAGCGCTAATAGACCTGGAACTTCCTCAAAAAATGAGAAACTCCACCTGAGGAAGTCTGTAAGTAGAGACAAGACTGTCAGTGACAGACAAATTTTCATCCCCAGGCCACTTAAGTAAGACCATACATCATTTTTGCCACATTCAATGTTTATACTCATTAACACCTCTGCATCGTTTCAAAAATGATGTCTCCAGCTGTAAGAATGACATACATCAAAGATTTCTAAATCTCCTAAACCTGACAGTAATACCTATAGAACACAGCATCCGTAAGCTCTTTGCAAATTATCCAAAGCAGGGACATTTGGCAACTGCTAAACACAGTGCACGTCACGACACATTCTAAAACTGTATGAACACACCATGAACAGCAGCGCTGGGAAAAAAGCAAAAGAGAATCCTGTAAGAATGAGAGATTTAGTCAAAATCCAGAGGCAGACAACAGCAACTGAAATAGAAATTAGGAGATGGAACTGAGTTAATAGCTCAACTGCTGAGCAAAGTCATCAGTGATACTTAACTTCTTACACATTCGTGACTACCAGTTTTTCATGTGCCCCAAAAGATCTCCCTATCCTCCACCCGCAGCTGGAACTCCACCAGCATGCCAACTGTGGGCAAAGACTTACAGCTACTAAATTACCATTTTCCACCACACCTCAACCAGTCTTTGGGTGGCCTCCCACGCCAGCACTGGCCAAGCCTAACCATGCTCTTGCTCATGAAATCTGATGTGATCACATTCAGCAAAAATGATAACTGAACTGATCGGCCACACTGCAAAAACCAACGTACCGTGTTTGCAGTTCCCACTCTATTAGAGACTGGCACCATCTCCAGCTTGGCATTGTTGGGCAGCCTGGCAAATCTCCACTGTAAAGAGAGATCCAACACGCTCCTCTGAAACCTAAACAAGAACAGAGCCCGTGAAAACACCAGGAACCATCCTATGTCACCTCGAGATCACTTCAGGGACTGACAACACCACAAAGTCCAGGAACTGAGCAAGAGAATTCCCTGCAGGCTGACCAGGAGCCATGGAGCAGCATTCAACAAAGCAGAACTGGTAGCTCAGAAAACAGTCAACAAAAGTTATCCCACATACTAAAAACGCTGCAGTTGGTAGAGATCACAGACAAGATACTCAAATACATGTTCCTCCTCAAGCTTTAAGAGAAAAACAACTGAATAGTCAAGCCTGGTGCTCACTGTTAAATAAAAAGGTACTTTTTTTACTGCCACTCAAATAATCTCTTGATTATGATACCATAAAAGTGTACGATCAAGCTGCAGCGTGCGAGTGGAGCACTAGCAGTGAGTGAGCTACCACTGCGGGTGCGGGGAGGAACATCTCTGTGGAAGTTACACGGGATCTCGGTATCTGTCCAAGGAGTGAAGGGAACGTGGCACAGGGAAATCGGGAGAGGTTAACTGGAACAAAATCACTTTGCTGGAGAACAACCCGAGCTGCAGCCCGCGGACTCTCTCTCCCTATGACTGTAAGCACCCCTGTGAGCTCGGGGCCTTGCAAGCCCGGGCACCCACCCGTGGCACCCCCGCCCGGCAGCGCACCGGGCCACGGGCAGGTCCTTGGG